TATATATATATTGCTGCAAGCAATTTTACAGTCTAAAAAGGCAAAATAAAAAACTAACACAGACAAAATTAGACTTATAAAATAGAAAGTTAATAGTTACTAACATTAGCTGATCTGTTAGCAAGTTGGGAGGAAAAATATAGATTACAGGTGCAAAAAAAAACATTTTTCAACCTGAGAGCCAACATAAGGGTCTAGTGTCTGAAACTAATGGGAAGAAAGAGGGGCTTGTGGAGTTACAATAAGGAGGAATTCAGACCAAAGCATTGCAGTTTTGCTTTATAAAGACCCCAACGGAAGAAAAAAGAACAATTGAAACAGTCGAAAAATAAGGATTTGAATGCATGGTATGAMTCCTTTAAGAGAAAAAGTTCACAATGTAGTCATTTTAATAGACCTTATATGTCTCAGTTTAATCATGATGTATTTCCTTTTTTGTTTGTTTGTTTGTTTACCTGCAGTCAGTCAGTTAGGTTGCCAAACCCTCCCAAAGCTGCCCCCCATTTCTTGCATTTCTAACTCACAAAAACTAAACTGTAGAAGGTTTCAGACCCATCACTGACTCTGTGAGGACTTCCAAAGTCAACTTGTTGCATGTATGTTTTGAACGTTTTAAAATTTCTAATAACTGAGAAACCCTGCCTCTCAAGCATGAAATCTGACACTAGCTWACATTTCAAGACATTTGTCGCAGCTCAGATAAACACCACCTACAAGAGTATTTGAAATAAAGCAGTTTGCATTTAAAGATTGTGCAGCTTTTGCCAGAACACAAKTTTTTATTCAGAGGAAATGCATTTAGATGTATAAAGTGTGTGATAAAATGGTCTGCGCGCTGTTTGAACTGTTCCTCTCAGTCACCTTCACGGCAGACAGTCAGACATAGCAGCTTACGTTTCGCTTGTGCAGAAATACTGCCGACATCTGTAATAACACTCTCCGCTCAGGCTGTGTAACTCTTTGTTAAAACAAAGATGAACTTAACTTAAAATCAGAGCCGTGTCAAAAAACAAACCTACATTCAAAGCTCTCACATCAGCCAGCCTGCGACTTCCTACAAGTTTAAGAGATAACTTTAGCTTTCCGTTATCCAAAATATATTTATCTGAATTCTAAACGTAGTTTTATAACCACTGTATTACAAATTAAATTAGATAAAAATCATTTCAAAGCCTGCTTCATTAGTTTGTGTGTAAATATGATGAATGATGTTCCCATGTTATAGTCATTTATTCTTTGTTCTTGGGAATATTTATTCAGATGTTTCTACATCAAACGCTGTGTTCGAAGAATGCGAGTGGGAAAGAAACTTTCTTTAGATGAGTAGTTTTGTGTTGCGCTTTTCCTCCAAAAAACTTTGTCCCTCTCCGTCTCATTACATAAATGTGCTGGAAAATAAAATGTTGATGTGCCACATTTCTAATTTACACCCCCCCCCCCCTTAGAATTTCTATCGCATTCATTTAAAAAGCACTAAAGCAGTCACAATGTTTTCAAACAGTATGTAAAAAATATGCTTCAATTATCGCCCTGCTCAAAGCAAGACAGACTTCTGTGGATTGGAGACGTTTAAAATGATTGTCGTTTAAATGATTTCCTCTTCTTCCTCTGCGCTCAGGGCTCTTTTCGACTACGACAAGACTGCGGACTGYGGCTTCCTCAGTCAGGCTCTGGGCTTCAGGTTCGGGGACGTGCTGCACGTGTTGGATTGTGGAGATGAAGAGTGGTGGCAGGCCCGTAAGGTCAGCCCGCAGAACGAGGCCGAGGAGGTCGGCTTCATCCCCAGCAAGCACAGGTCAGAGCCCGTTTTTTCTTTGTCTTTTTTTGTTTGTTTTGTTTTTTACATATTTGTGGCCCATCATTTCGAAATGAGGATTAAGTCAAATTTGGTCAAAAAGACCTCATTACATTTTCAGATTCCTGCTTTAAAAGCTACATTTTGATACCTGGATCATTCTGAAATCATAAGCTTATCCATATGACTTAATTTGTCTTGTTGGTTACGATAATACTTTACTGTTTGGTCTGAATCCTAATTTTATGTAAATTTATTATTTTTGATGTCGGTATAAAGAGGAAACATCAAATAGTATTTTTATATTAATATTTCCCACTTGGAAAGAAACAAAAACATTTCCAGCTCACAGGGAAAAATTCAACATTTTAAGGCGTTTTTCCTCAAAATCAGTTTTTTTGTTGCTACTGCTCAAAAAATGCTTCAATACATTTTTTAGGATTATAGTTCAGACAGTTCATTCAAATGATACATTGATAAGGCATTAATTCATTATAATTTGACAAAATGCAATTTTTGCACACATTTAAATCAAACCCAATCCTCGTTTCGACGTGATGGGTCACATTTCAGCAGTCGTTTTCTAAACTCAGTCCACATTGTGTCATGTTTTACAGGGTGGAAAGAAAAGAGTGGTCTCGTGTTAACACCAAAGAAAGGGTAAGCTCATTCGGTGATACAGCTTTGAACGAGTCTGCTTCTTTCAAACCGGCGCCAAGTGTTTACATTTTCCATTTTGTCTCTGTTCACAGGACCACGGTCGAGACAACATGAGCACTCAAGGTGAGGAACGTGACTCAAAAAGCTCACGTCCAGCTTTTTGCCGATTTAAGCTCATTACTGCAACGACTCTGAGGTCAACAAAACAAGAAATGTCGATCGGTTTACTAATTACACCAAAGAAAAGCATCATTTTCAGCAACCATTACCTTCATGTCTACATTCTGAAATGTTTGAAAGCGATTTAAAATCACTTTTTTTAAATTGTGATTTAAGTGCCTAGATGGAGGAATAAGCCCACTCACTGTTTTGAACCCTTGTAGCTGCATGTTTATTCTGTGTCAACAGGGTTTAAAACAGCAGGTTTCAGATGATTGAGAAAGCATGTCCAAGTTTCTCAAAAGTAAATGGCACATACGGCAAATTCTTACAATAAAATACACAATCCTAATTTATCCTCTCATCCTGTCCATGCATTTATGGCATTATAGCTTATTTTATTCATGCAGTAATATTTTTACAAGTTTTCTTCTCATTTAATGAGGAAGAGTTGTGACGATTTAGGACTGGTAAAACTATTAAAGGAATATTGTTTTTGTTTGTTATTAAGTGTGGTTCTGTTGAACGGTTAATATCCTACCTGTTGTAGATAGCTCTTTGAATGGCCTCAGCTTGAAGAAAAAAACTAAACTTGCTTTTAGCTCAACAACCTGGYCATAATCAAACTTTATTTCCCTAAAACTGAGCTTGTTCAAAGAGCTTCAACAGATAAAATATTTATTGGTCATAACCAGTGGAGTCCTGTTATAATTCTGGTGTTAGTATCAAGCCCAATACCTGCACTTTTACAAATACTTGTACAAAGTGTTCCAATATTCTGGACTAGATACTAGCAATACTCTATTAAATGTGCTACAGTTAACATTTCAAGTGAAACGTTTGTCAGTTCCATGTTTAAAACTTTCATACAAGTTGAAAGAAAACCTTATTTTTATCCATTTTAAACTATTTCAGCAGCATGTATCCTGCTGTATATTTGATGTGATTTAGTCAGAGGGGCTGTAGGCCTATAAGGAAGGAGACACCTTGTTCTAAATAAAAGAAATGTGTTTTTAAAATTATTGTTTATTAGAAAGTACTTTGTATCGAGTACCCAAAGTACTTGTACTTGTACTTGTTTGAGAAAAACTGATATCGGGACACTCATAATTCAAAATCTTTCTACAGAACCCCACTTCAAAAAAACTGAACTATAACTTTTACGTTCTTATGCTATACCAGTTTTCTGTTTGGATTAGAAATACTGTTTACAACTTTGTATCCATGATTCTCTTTATTTGTATCCATTGCTGCTACACCTTTTTATAAGAAATGTGCAACTATTCGTTTAAAAAGTCTTTATTAACTGTCAGAGCTGATTACCAGTTTCATGATACCATTTAGCAAGATCTCGATTGTTCAAGGGTTACGTACCAGAAACAACAAAACAGATACTCTGTTTGTGTTGAACTCCATTGGCCCCTAGTCAATCATAAATGAGCCCAATACAGAAACTCATGATTGCAATTTGTAGATGGATGCATGAACAATACCTTGTTATTTGCAATAAAATGTGTTTATAAATGTTTAGAAATGAGAATGCAGAAAAATCAATGCAGTGTGAAAGATGCTCACCGACACAACACAAAGCTGAATTTCATTTCCAACGGGTGAAACAAAACAAAACAAAACAAAAAAAAAAAAAAACGAAAAGAAACACGTGGCTGAATGCTTCTTTGTTCTGTCACCAGGGAGAGATAAAACCCCACACAGTTATGAGACTGTTACTCAAGTGGAAGGTAAGACCACACAAAAGAGCGTTTGAAGCGCTCTATTCAAGGCTTTAATATGACGTTTCATTTTTGTTTTGATTTCCCTTTTGTGACTGATCCCGCTCTCTTTCTCCTTCCTTTCTCCTCCCGATAAGTACATTACGCGAGGCCCATCATCATTCTGGGTCCGGTGAAGGACAGGATAAATGATGACCTGTTGTCTGAGTTCCCTGATAAGTTTGGATCTTGTGTCCCTCGTGAGTAATTAGGCTGTCACTCCTAAAGACTAATCTGCTCTGCCTTTTTTTTTTTTTTTGATGTCAATGCTGCCACCTGCAGCAATTTTAGGGTGACATCGGCGCAGAAGTAATTGCTTCAATTTTGAAATGCAGAGTGGCACGAGCCTCGTTTTTTTATCACTTTGTTCTCCTTTCGACAGACACCACACGACCCAAGAGGGAGTACGAGGTGGATGGGCGAGACTATCATTTTGTGTCCTCACGAGAACAGATGGAGAAGGACATCCAGAGCCACCGGTTCATCGAGGCGGGACAGTACAACAGCCACTTGTACGGCACAAGTGTCCAAAGTGTCCGCGAGGTGGCAGAGCAGGTATGCAGGAACAGAAACAGAAATTAATGGTAATTATGTTTTTTTCACGCAAGTAYAAGTGTGTTATTATGTTGATCTACCTCATTCAATTTTTTTTTTTTTGAATTAGATTCAAGGATAGTGTCAAAAGTGATATTTCAGACGTTTTGAAGTGGGGTTTTGGGCAAAGGACATAAACAATAAATATCTTACCTGTTGTAGATAACTCTTTGAACTACATCTGTTTGTAGAAACACTATTTAATTCTTACCAGATTGATAAATTTAAAGATAATTTGAGCAGAGACACAGATATGTTCACCTTATCAGTTGTGACATGAGCTATAAAAGCACATGTAAGGAGAAAAAGGCACAAGTTTGTGTCCAATCTAGCTTAATGGCTACCCAAATGGGGCCCATTTTATCTAATCTTTCAGGCTAATRAAACAACATTTTGTGAAAGCACGTTACCTCGACTAATGTTAAACCGTGATACTTATACACWACTCTGTYTATTTAGTTTGTCACTGTTTGCTCAAACAAAACRTTGTCCGTTTTACCACACAAACATGTGCGCTGAGCATAGACCATGTCTACACAATATTTACTAAGGCTGCGACTGTGATCGTCTGCTGGGAGTGGAGTAAAATTTTGGACTGACAAGACAWATATAYATTTATAAAAAACAGTATCSTGTGGTACAGAGGATTAATACTAAMAACTTTTTCCACACKTTTTTTTGTTTRTTTTGTTTGTTTTTTGAGAAACTGTTGTTTTATAAGCCTGAATACTGATTTAACATGAGTCATTCTTTGGCTAGTCAGTGGCCTAGTCTGAGGAAAGACTTTTGCTCATTTTGATACTTTGTGTTCTGTGGCTGATGTCACGGCTGAAAGTATATCAACCATTGATAAGACAAAACATCACTTCAAAAATCACCAGACTATCCCTTTAAGCTARCTCCAGTGAGGAAACTTTCTTAGCCAAAAATGAAAAAGGAAACTATTCTTGAACCCTTTTACRCTGTTGTCAGTTTCACATTGAATGGTTATTGCAGTAAAAATGTTTTGRTATTCCTGCCAGAAGTGCCTCCAGGCAGTTCTCTAAGCAAGTTAGCTTTTTAACTCTGTCAGAATTAAGCTCTTTTTCTCCTAAATAAGAACCTTCAAAGACATGTTTGCTTCTACTTGTTCATAACTTTTCCAAAAAGCCTCACTTCAAAAGATAAGAACTATTCCTCTGTGTTTGTTATCAGGAATCTAATAAAAAAAACAAGGTTTGTTTGAGACAAGGTTTTTTTTAGTGCTGAAAGCAAGTGTTTCAGTAATGAGCTACTTCCTTTTGTGGACTTCGTCATAAGTTGTTTTTATCAATAAATCCTGATAATATTTTGTGTGTGTGTGTGTGTGTGTGTGTGTGTGTGTGTGTGTGTGTGNGTGTGTGTGTGTGTGTGTGTGTGTGTGTGTGTGTGTGTGTGTGTGTGTGAGCAGCAGGGGAAACACTGCATCCTGGATGTCTCTGCTAACGCCGTGCGCAGACTACAGGCAGCTCAGCTTCATCCCATCGCCATTTTTGTCCGGCCCAAGTCACTGGAGAATGTTCTGTAAGTGTCAAACACAGCTTTTGAAACATTTATGGAAGCATCAGGAATAAAAGAAGTTTTGTTGTAAAGACGTGTGTGGCTTCAACAGAGAAATCAACACTCGTCTGACGGAGGAGCAGGCCAGGAAAGCAATGGACCGAGCCCTCAAGCTAGAACAAGACTTCCTAGAGTGTTTCTCAGGTAACAGCGCACAGAAGCTGTGTGGATGGTGCAGATAGCTTGTCCATCTGTCGTCTGTACTTTGTTCAAGATTTTAAGTGACGGATAATACAAGGGCTCTAGGGCAGGGGTTCTTAACCTTTTTGACCTCAGGGCCCAATTTGTTGAACATAAAGTAGCACAAGGCCCAGTCAGACATTACCAACATATGGATCAAAATGATAATTATTCTAATCTAAATCTTGGTTTAATTTTTATTGTTTTTACATCATAACTAAACTATCATAACTAACATAATTAAATTAAATACACTTACAGTTTAAAAGTAAAGCTCCTGTCAAATAATCACAAGACATGATTAATACAAACAATTGTTTATATTGTAACCTGCCCATAACAATTATTTGATCAAATAAAAAGGTCAGTCAACAGACARCTCAGGCTTATCAGCACAAAAATATGTATTTTTAATACAAGCAATAACAAAAATAGACAATTCAAAAAACATAATTGTGGGCATAAGATAAATAAATTAAAAATGTTTTATGTAAATGTTTCAGATAAAAAATAACCCTGTAAAAATAAATTTGATAAAGCACAAATGAAAATATGGCCTTTTTAAACTTTTGGTAGAACCAGAAGCTGCTTTTCATATTAGTGACAAACAATAACAGTAACAACAG